CTGAAAACTTCCCCTCTCATGGCGATGAAATGCAGTACTGCTGGGTTTTGGCTGTACCGGGTTTCCTTCCCCCTGCTCCGGCTGGCTTTGATTGGGTGACTTTGTCTTGATCTTCTCTGTCGATCTCTGATAAGTGCAGGATTCTCTGAAGACGTCTTAAATTCTTGATACTTCTTAAATTTAGCTGAGGTCATCTGGATCCTTCTGATTTCTTCTTTCATCTTCTCTTTGCATGAATCTCAGCACCCAAACAGCCAAACCTCAATTGGGCCCCACTGGAAACCGTCCCGAAACGATCCCGGACACGACTGGGCATTCGGACCGTCCGGTTGAAGCTGGGCATGATGGACCTGTCGGTCGGTATCGCCCCGTCACTTGGGGTTCGGCCTGTTCGGAACCGGCAAAAAAACACATATATGACGACCTAAGAGCAACAGGAACCTACTACTACTACTACTACTACTACTACTACTACTACTACTACTACTAGCAATGGCCTCCAACCTAGCAGCGATGGCCTCCAACCTAGTAGCGATGGCCTCCAACCTAGTAGCGATGGCCTCCAACCTAGAGAAACCCTGGGAGTCCATTGTTAAATGGAAGTGCAAAAGCCCTAGTTAAAACATGTTAAAACAATGGTTGTTTGGGATTCAGGCTATTCGAATAGATTTCTATTGGGGATTCACCCAGTTCGGGCAAGTAAACATCACCCTTTTTCCGCCAACCAAACATTCCCAGACCATCCATGGGATTGGAATAGTGACCTAGATGTAATAAGTTTGTGACCCATCAATTTTGCCAATCTAAGTCAATGTGACTCTTCCTCTGATACTCGGAGTTTGGGGCATTTACCCACTTTCAGCACCAAGAGTGAATGAACCAATTGTAATACTGATGTCTGTGGACTGTGGGAGCCAGCTCTCCCTCTCCCGCCAGTGGCACAGAAAGAAACACAACATTTGGATGAAACAGACTTGCTAGTTGGCGTACCAAAGACATGTGCAAGCCAGTATTGGCAGAGATCAAACATAAAGCGGGAGAAAAGTTCAGCCTCAGATTGGTTTGGCTCAATCATGATCCATCGTTGAACAACTCCACAGCTTGGATTACGCCATTCTCTCTGTCCTTCTATAAAAGAGAAACGCGTCTGCAATGTTCATCTTGACAACCTCTGCAGTACATTGACTCCGGACCCGGCACTCAATTGGTGCGTGGGATCAGTGGGGCCGGCGATCGGACGACCGGCCTTCCGCGATTGGAGGGGTCTCTCGGGCTCAGTGTCCAGGGAAGGTTGTCCTCGGCGCATGGGAAGAGTTGGCCTCCCAAACGGAAGACATCCTCAAAGCACCGGGACTCCAGTAACTGACCAGTAACTGACCAGTAAGCCCAAGAATCCTTTCATCTTTTCACCCCAGTAACTGACCAGTCATGACACGTTGGCCTCTTTGCCCACTGGCTCCCACCATCCATCGCATCTGCGCACCTGCCAATATCCTTTCCGCCACCTTCACCAAGTCTACCAGGACCCTCCGACAGGTCACCACAGAGGTTGGCCTCTTGGAACGCCCGGAGCCCGAGTTCGGGTGCGACCGGAGCGACCGGGAGAGCCCCCGAAACTGAGCTCCGGCTCCAAATGGCGGAGCTAACAGCCAGGAGCATCCATGGGACTGGAATGGAGATGTTTGTATACATGGATGTTTGATTTTTCATGGTGAACATGATAATATAACTAAATTCAAACTCGTCTTTGGATGATCATGCATGGTCTGGGTCAGATCGGGTAACAAGCCAAGCTTCAGCTAAAGAAGACATGCGGTTCCGCATCCGCCGCAAGGCCAGAACGGCTGGCCCAGCAACGGCCTGGCAGATCGAATGAGAATCAAACTTTGATGAATTGACGAGACCCCACGAAAGACCCAAACAAAAAAGAACAGAAAACACCGATATTGTTACATTCACCAATTATTACAGGTGAAAAAAGTCCAACATCCATCTTGCTTGCAGGCCATCGCTCTTAGGTTGGAGGCCATCGCTACTAGGTTGGAGGCCATGGCTCTTAGGCTCTTAGGTTGGAGGCCATCACCCTCAGTTTGGAGGCCATCGCTTGCAGGGCCTCTTTGTTTGCTCCTTCCTTCACTTCACCTAATTAAAGACGGAAGTGAACGCCATTCGCGCCTGCGACTGGGACGGTCGGCTTGGCTCTAAAGCTCGGCTCTGTTGGTTCGCCTGAGGTGAGGAGCGGCGACCAGTGGTTGGTCCCGTTTGGAGGAAAAGGCTGACAAAATGCTTCACGAGGTTCAGTACTTCTTCCCGGAAAAGATAGGGGTACCCGCAGTGAAGCCCTTTGATTCTAGATCTGAATGGTAGAAACACCCTTAAGATAAATGATGGTTGATTCATAAAGCCCCTGTGCCTTGATGGAGAAAACATGTTTATCTGCGGGGGTTGAAACAGACTCCGTTGGCCAAACAAATCACACGGTCACCATCTTAGCAGTTGAAGTGTGTTTTGGTGGCGCAGGTGAATTGGTGACCTCAGAAGTGAGGAGAGGACTCTCCTCAGAGTCAGATCTGGTGAGCTTGGAAGGCAAACATGGGAATGGGGATGGATCTCAATCGCTTGGAGGACCTCAGTGCGTGACCTGTGCAGGATACCCTGAACTCCTTGAGTCCCAGTTCACCGATACCAGGAGACCCTAGTAGCTTCTTGTTCCTAGTAGTACGGGCAGGAGCCCCTAGTAGCCTCTTTGCTCCTAGTCGCGATGCCAGGAGCCCCTAGTAGCTTCTTGTTCCTATAGTAGAACCTCTTCAGCTTCTTTTTGAGGAGATCGCAGTTCCACTCCGCAATAGCTGGTCACCGGTGCTTCATTCCAACGACCACGACCCTGTTTCCACCAGTTCCCGCTCAGTTCTGCGTGCGAACCGCGAACCAGGACCAGACCTCCGAAAGACCCCACACTGAACGGGGCGTTTCGTGGACGGAGCTCGCGGAAGTCAGGATTCTGAGACACGGAAGGTCAGGGTAAGTAGCGAAATAGCTCAAGGACGAAAAGAAGAGCCGTGAAAATACATGGAAATATCATCAACCGTCTAGATGAAGTGCCAATTTAATGGCACTTAAATCCAAAATGATCTAAAAACAAAAAAGGAAACTCTTCCGCCGCCCCATCTTTCAGTTTCTTTTTTCAACATATTGACTAAGGAGATACGACGCGTCGGGCCCTGATCGTCTGGTTTGCTTGGCAGCTGTACCACACGACCCTTCGCGGCACAAAGAGCGGCCAGCGGAGTGGCTACCAGAACCCTCCTAAAGGTGTCTTTCAGCTCCTTCCAGGTGATTCCGGGTGTCCCAAAACCACCTGTTCGAAGGTCCTGGTACATGATTTCCACGCTTAAGGAGGGTTTTCACACACTGGGGGGGAGGGCTTTTCCACCCGTGTCGTACATGAGCCGCCCCCCATGTGTCATACAATGTCAGTCGTAATGACATCATCTTTCGTCTCAGTCGTGTGGTGGTTTTTCCTCCATCTGATGGTTCGATGGTCTGAACAAGTGGTCCACGACCTCCTTGTCCAGGACATCCAGGTCTCCGGACACGTTGTTGCATATAATCGTGACCTGCGCGTCTCGGGGTCCCCCGCGTCCAGGCGTGTGCGCATTGGTCTTTTTGGGCGCCGGGGTCGGAGAGGTCAAAGTGGATAACTCGACTATAGCATCTAGCATCTAGATAGCATCCACTACACGTATGGTTTATATATACTTAGAATGGTCTAGAATCTAGCATCTAGATGCATGCATGATGCATCTGGCAAGCACATTGGGTACACACGAGCACAGTAGGCTTTCAGTTCATAGAGTAGAAGTCTCCAAAAATGAGGAAAGAAAGGACTTGGGTACCTAGGTACATTCACAGTCTATCATGCTGGTTGCGGATTGTCTCCATATTTGCCGTTATATGCCTCCTTCTCCTTCATTTGTTGAAGATCAAACCTCTGGAGCCCTATAGTCAGTAGCATCTGACCCAGGCAATCTAGGGAATCACATCCTAGAACCCTTCAATACGAAAAGAACACCAACACACGTAACAAACATGTAACAACCATGCTATTGTCTTTACTTAAGCGAAAGTCACAGGGTGAACTATGGCGGACTGTGGGAGCTGGGATCAAAGGCGGGAAAAACTTCGAATTGAGTGATGCAATGGACGATGTCAAGGAGCCCCTCAGAATGACCTTGTGCTCGACCTAAGAGAACGGCTGGTAACAAGAAACTATCAGTAACAAGTGCATCGCTACTAGTAACAAGGGCATTTCTACTAGTAACAATCCTGTCGCAATCCCGGAGCCTAGAACAACTCGAAGACGGCGGAAGCAACAAACCCTGGATCTGAACTCATCTAGCCCCAAAACCCCAGCCCTGTCCATGAAATCCCATGAACACCCAAACAGCTCGTATCTAAATGGATCTCAACCATCATTGGACCCTTCTATGGAGGGTGTTGACCCTGCACAGCAGGAGGTCTGGACCCTCAAAACCTCACCTTTGGAGGTTCATCCACGTGTGACCTTGCAGGTGATATCATGTTTGTTGGAGGCAAGCGTTGGAAGATCTTGGTTCTTTTCATGATCCAGTCAGGTAGGGGTCCATGATTCTTCGGGGTAGGATCTTTCAAAAATACCTGGCCCCAAAACTCGACCGCTTGGCGCGTACGCGTATGGGGAGCGTATGGTCATGCAGCCTCCCCTGGCCCAGTGGATGATCATTTGCAAGGTTCTTAAACATAAGAGTAATTAGCAGTAATTAGCAGTGATCAGAGAATAAGTGGTATGACCAAATGCTCATTACTTGATGATCAAATGTTAATTTAAACTTAACATCTGATCAATGAATCGTTTACAATTTATTGGAGATGTGACTAAATGATAAGTGGTGTCAACTGTGGCAAAGCATGGGGAGCCTGCAAACGATTTAGGGTCTCTGGTTGTTTACTTTCAACTCATTTCAGATTCCATCCTCTTCCACGCGCTCCAGCCAGACCGTCCGCTTCTCCCTTTGTTCAGCTTCTTCAATGGCGTAGGTCGGCTGAGTGCTTCCGATGTACAAGCTCTCATCTTCGTCTGAAGGAAACAACTTGAGCTTCCCTTCCTCACGTGCTTTGTCTGCGGAAACCACTAAACAAGAAGCTAAAACCAAGCTATACATAGCTATACCTTATACCTAGGCTAGGGGGTCCAAAAAGTACCAAAAGGTACAGCGTTTGACGTTGGTTTCAACTGAGCTTCAGGTAGCAACTTCAGTGCGCACCCGCGACCCTCGATGACCTTGTGATATGCGACGATCTCGCCACAACGTCCTGGCGCTGCACCGCCAAGCAACGTCTGGTGTTGGAAAAAAACGTCTGGTGTTCAATGGAGACAATTTTGCGCGACTGGATCTGTAGATTTGGATCTGTCTTGACTTAAAATGATGACCTGAAACTTCAAAGGGCTACTGAAGTTGAGATCCACAAGCAGTGTACGTATGGTAGTGCATTGGAGACCCCGATTTCGGAGGGTGTAGATCACCTCTACCACAGACGGTGGGCTCCAGTGTTTGACTAGGCGATCCTCACCGTGTCAAGGGCCGCTCGGATCCGCTCGGTGAGGTTGGCAGTCCGGGCGAAATCGCCGCTTTGCTGCGCCGAGCCGAATCAAAGACATAGAAAGACATCCCATGCCAGGGTCAATCCCCTGACTTACCCATATGACCCATTGCCTGGGGATTGACCCATGTGGGAACAATCAACATCACCCTGTTTCCGCAAAACCAGTAGGATGTAGGAGAGTGAACGGACATCACGATGTTCACATTTCCTGCGTCCCAAAAGCTTATGTATCCTTGTACTTCTCTCTTCAGTATGGAGGAAACCTGTGTGGATTGTTTAGTTTGAATGATGAGAAAATGCGATAAAACTACCAGAAATCTGACTTAGTGAGTGTTGTTCTTTCATGGGATAGACCCGGCTTCGCCGCCCTCAACCATGCTTGGTGAGTTCTCTTATCACCTCGAGTGAGTCTGGAGGGTCCGACTATGCTTGTACATGAGATCGCATGGCCAGCAGTTTCTAAGATGAAGATAGATGAAGCACTTGGTCCTTAGCCTTCAACAAACAAACCATAGGGCTTCCAAGCACGGCAAAACACACGTGGTTTCGCCCCGCACTTCTTGAAGTCTCAGAAAAAACCAGGAGCTCCTTGCTGGACGAAGTCCTCACAGGGACTCGGCACGGTGGGGAAGCCCCGCACTCGGACGGAGTTCTCATGAAGCCATCGGCAGCCGTCGAGCATGACTCCGATGGGTCGCACAGCACCCTCCGCCGCCAGAGCCCACGAAAACCTCGCAGGACTCGCGCGGACGCGGCCGAAGCAGTAAGTGGTGCCTAAGCAGTAGGGTTTTCGCCGCGGTGGATCGAATGGTGTCGTGCATGGTTGGGGGCTGGATGTGGTGGACCAGGTGGACTAGGACATCATGAGGATTCTGGACATGGATCCGGTTCGGCTCCGGCAGCCTTGTCGCGAGTCATGTCAGTCGATGCGTGACAGGATTTGACTATCTTTGAGAGGCAATTTGTGGCTTTCACTCCTAAACACCCCATGGGACTTTACAGACCTGCCATGCTTGGCTACATTGGTTGACCTGGGGTCAATGGGGCGGCAGTCCTATGCCAGTCCCAGACAGGTCGCGTCTGGGACTGACTTCGAACTGAGCATCTGTCGAACCTTGCGAGGGTGAAGGAAGCTTGCGGCCCGAGGATCCGCGAGGTTCAGCGAAAGAAGTCTGACCTCCAATCCCTATTTGAAGCGGCTGCGCAAACAGACTTAGATCTGTGTCCAAAAAGTGGAAAGAAGCGGGCAGGGAACTCACATGCCGCAAATCTTCCCAAAGAAATCTGAAAAAATCTGGTTCAACCACCCATATCAACCCTCTGCCCCTAATGTGGGAAGGCTGTGGGAAGGTGGAACCCAGTCGGAGAGACAAACCAAATCTCACTTAGTCTGAGCACCAGGCCTGTGTCTAGAACCTCTCGGAGCTTCTTCCGCCGGATTTTCATGGATTTGTGCTCCTGTGCATTTGACGTTATTGCATTCTGGTCTACTGCTTGGGTAAGATAGGAAAATCAACTACTCCAGGGCACAAGTAGATTGCAAAAATCCTATGCATCAATAGCAAATTCCTACAGCATGCCTATGCGATGATCTATAGTTGTATAACCTCCCAAAAAGACATGGAAGGCATTACCTACCAGGTCCCTTTCATTCCCACTTTCCCCTCACGTTCACGACATCGACCTGTGCCAGGATGCACGCTATCAGCTAAGTAGAAGAGGTTGTAGAAAAGGCCTTGCCCACATTCCCCTCCAACATGGTAGCAATGAAAGCACCATTGGTCACTGGCATCGAGGCAACCCCACGGGCCAAAGCCATTGAAATTCCAACCCATGTCATCGTCAAAGGTCGCGTTCCTCAGATCTCGTTTGGAGAAGACATGAAACACATAGACTTTCACTTCATGGTCCATGGTCTGGAACATGCCACCTGAAAAAAGAGGGACTACGACCTCGAGAGAGGGGTTGTAGTAGACATATAGAAGTACCATCGACTGAGTCGTGTTGTTTCTTCATGTGATCTGTTCCTAGTACAGTTGTTTCTCAGCACCTTGACATTTACTCCACTCAATTGTCTAGTAGCACCTCATGTTGTTTTTCCTTTGACCTTCCAAACACTGTGGCCAAATACTTAGGAATCTGGTCGTTGATTCAGGTGTTTTCTTCGGGAACAGTTGGTATCAGGAATATATCTAAGCAGTATTTTGAACATAACGTCACATTGTAAAACCCAACCTTTTGGGTGTCTATGACAATAGGGGTCTCCCTCAACGATCCCCTAGAAGGTTCGGAAAATAGACCAGGAAAAACCGAGGCGCTCGGGGGCTCCCTACTCTTATTGAAAGATTAATGGAAAAACATGGTTGTGGTTCTATATAGGAACCGCTTGATACGGCTGCGGGTCAAGGTTCTTGAACTCCCTAAGCCCTGGTAGGTTGACCTATCGGTGGTCAAGCAGGGTGCCCCGGTTGAAGGACCCACACGTCACACGGATCTCGGCTGCCGAAGCAAACCGTCGGAAGTCGATCCGAAGTCGTAGAGTGAACTCCGAGACACGAGGAGTTATATAAGGACTGGAATATCTTATATATATAAGTTGTTTATGGTAAAAACCTCCCGACCGACGAAGCCGCACTAGCTGAGGCGCCGGTACTTTTCGTAAAGCTTGAGCCAAATGTAAGGAAATCGCTACGCGTGAGAAATGCCGCGCACTAAACGTTCACGTCTCATTTAACTCCCTCATTTCGAGCGGCGAGCGGACGGAACGCACACAGCAAACTATGTGGAAGCAGCAGGTCGGACACTCAGAAGTTGCAGTAGTCGTTCCCAAGCATTGGGCTGTACGACCTTTGTCAAGGCATCAGCTGCTTGAAGATCTGTGCTGCAATACTCAGCTATCATTTCAGCCAGACTAGCAATATCGATGCGGTGGGTTCTTGAAGCGCGTCGAAGCTTCACCGAGAAACCACTCTTCAAGATTGATAGTGTTGCTGAGTTGTCTTCTTTGAGCTTCATCGTGACCTTCCTGTCTACGAGTTGTTCTAGGAAATCAAGCAACGGCTGTCCTTCGGAGTATACAGCACTTGCCATGGATATGATCTCAGCCTCAGTTGTCGATCTTGCTAGCGATGACTGGCATCACGAGTTCCATGCAATCGGCCAGCGTGAAGATCCTGATTGCCAAGATTATCATCATGCCAGATGTAGAGCGGGCGCTGTGAACACACGATGCTAGATCAGCATCTGCATACACATGTATCTCCGTGTTCTCAACACTCCCAGCTTGAAAAACCATTGAGTACTTCTTGGTCCAATGAACATAGGACACCACCCTGTGAAGATGAACATCTTCAGCGCGTGTCCACACACTAATTCTGCTTGCTAGTCTTCCGACTGAGTACGAAATGTCTGGTCTAGCCAGTCTGGCCGGCCAGAGTCCTTTCATCAATACTTTGGCCGCATGCGGCTTCATAGACCCTGTGGTTTCATACAGCTCATCTATCGCTGATGTGAGGCGCGGCCACACGACGGAATGATTTGGCATCTATATCCCAGTGATGTCAAGGTAAAGCTCTACAAAATGTTCAGCATAACCAACCATGGACATCTTAACTGTTCGTGGTGTCTCGAGTTCACGCAGTCTACCAAGAATGAGTACCGAGGTATCAGACGATAACATTTGTGGGTCTTCAATTTTGATGAGCTCACTGAATTGGTCCCAAAATCGCTTGTGAAGGTGAGATGCCCCTGACAACGTCAAGTCGTCAACATAAACATTTAGTATCATGCGATGCCTGTTGATGTTGAAAATGAAGTTGCTTGGAAACCCGCTACTGGTGTACCCCCTAGCTTGGCAATACGTGTCTCAAGATACTCCTGCCAAAGGCGTCCTACACGAGGGTGCCCATAAAGGGACTTGCGGAGTTTGACTGCAACCCTTCCGTAGAACTTGGTTTTCCATGAGTTCATCCACAGCTGTTTGGGCAGTATGACGAATGTCGGCTCATCTTCTGGGAGATAACTCTGCAAAAACGCTTGTACAGCGTCTGCTGTAGACGTGGCGTGTCCATCCAAAGCGCCCCATGGTGCACCAGAGACACATGTTGAGCGCTATGATTGTGGTGGGCGATGTGGACACCTCGGTGAAGAGGACTATGTCCCCATTTTGAGTCATGACTGTTTCTCCTCGGTATACTATCCTTCCTTTGTATTTTTGTTTGGACTCGTCTAGTTCGGCGTGCTTAATGCCGCAAAGGATGAGGAGCTCCGCCACTTTGATGTCTTTGGAGAGGATTTTGGACTGCCGCGTGAGTTCATCTGCATCGCAGGCGGTCTCGTCATCCCATGTCTGGTCTGACCTGAGTCCATCGCTTTCCTTTCTGATGGCCTCTAAGGCTTTTGGATTTGAAAGCCATTCATGTCTTCTGAGGGCTTTTATGACAAGACCAAACATCAACACAAAGGCGTCTTCAGAATCAACGAGGTTGTCTTGTATATGGGTTGTCTTGACTGACATTGCTGGGACGCGTTGCGTGTAAAACTGTTTGGGGTAAAGCACTTCGGAACGGTGTAGTACGCAGTTCTTGCAGCATTGCCGCCCTCACATGGTTCATGTTGATTCGAGTTGTGATTGCACTGCATTTCAGCGAACAACTCTACAACCCGACGGTCGTTGGTTGCCAACGTCCAGGGTTTCTTTAACCATTTGTTCTGCTTTCCCTTCAATCCCAACATGCAACCGTGGAATTGCACCATCATGAGGCGATGCCTTGCAATGAAACCTACGAGATTTGGAAGACGCCATCCCTGACAGTAAGTGGGCCATTCCCAAACGAGCCGGCCATTGTTGGATATGACGTACTCCCCAACTTGCAGAGCCAAGTCAACCATGTATGAAGATTCTTCCTGCTTTCGCGTGAGGTCGGCCAGAAACGAATCACCAAGACGCTGGATATTCAACTCTTGGACTCTTGGAGGTTGGACCATGGGTCGCAAGGCAAAGACATCCATATGTCGGCGCCATGTTGGGCTTTGAGTCGCCCCACAAGTTGGAGAATGTGATGGAAATTGCTTAGGTCAACGGCCTCTTTGTTCAAGCGAATTACTTTCACCCCGTATTGGGGAGCATGTCACCGATCAATGAGTCACTGCTACACGCATATTTTTTAGAACCCCAACCCCAGGCAGATCAGTCGCAAGCCGTCTGACGCGCGACAACTGCTTCCACGCTTCTTTGGCTTGCTTCTGAGCTGCCAGTGCAAAGCTTGCGCTCTCTGTTTCTTCTTCTTCACTCCTCGGTGTGGTTGGTGCGCCTCCGAGGGATTCTGCATCACTTGCTGGAGGGCGTTCTGGAACAAGCTCTTCGGCCATCAGGTCGCCGAACGCGATCGCTGACGGCTCATCTTTGTCTTCTTCCAGGATTGTTTCAGCTGTGATGGGAGTGGGCTTTGCTCCAACTGGAACCGGCTTGTCGGCCTTGATCAGTCGGTTGAATCTGTCTCGACATTTTTTCGAATGCCTAGATGTCAGCATTTCGCAACCCCTACAGTTGTCAGCGCCACCATACTTGATGAGACGGTCAAGTGTGATATACTCTGCACGGGTCTTGGCTGGCATCTCAATGGGCTCATCGCTGACAGGAATATTGATTGGAGGGATCTGTGAAGGATCTTCCAGACTGAATCCTGCCAAGGACTGGCGGTGTGAAGCGTTCGTTGAGAGGCATTGTCAAAGGATCAAGCACTACCTCTTCTTGTGGCGCTGCAATGGTGTTTTCAAAACCTGGTGCCTGCGTGCGGAGCTTTTCGTAGTCCAGTATGAGCACAACCCCCCCTGAAACGGCATCCATTCTCGAGCCTCCATCCGGCAAAAATGCCTGGAAGACATGAACCACCAAATTTGTGAAGCTTGTTCTTGTCACAAATCCTGTAATAAACCAACTGTCCCAATAACCAATGAGGACCGTCAAACCTTTGGCCTGACGCAGCCTCAAGTCTTGTCAGGGCTCTTTCCCCGTCTGGTGGCTTCACGTCCGGTTGTGTCCAAGCAAGTGCGAGCGACACTGCGCAGTATCGAACGGTTATGGGCCATAAGGATGGATATGGGGCAAAGCCAGCAGCGAGAGGAGTGGCGCGCACGGATTCCTCAAATGTTCTGATGTCCCTTTCAAGTCGTGAATTGTGTGGCCATTATCTTTCAAGAGTTGGTTCATAGAATGCTCCAAGTTGTTCGGCGGCATATTCGAACTCTTTCGCTGCGTCGGCTTTACATACCAGGGTGTGTGCAGATGACCTTGGCCCCAAAAAACTTTTTGATGTGAGAAGCGATCAAGTCGCCGTCCTTGGAAAACATCGGAATCCCTTGAAGGAAGCCGGACCACTCATCCCTGATCATGAGAACGTAATGGTCTGTCTTTGACTCGGCTGTCTTGCCAACAACAATAAAATCAATTGCAATGCGTTCCCCAAATCCAGTGACAGGATCTAACCCCCGATCAAGGAGCTCATATTCCCTCTTCTTGGCAACACGTTTCTTGTAGCACTTGGCGCTCTTGCAATCCAAACATTGACTCGACTTCGGAAAGTGTGCAAGTCTATGCTCAACGGAACGGGCTCTTTGCAACCCGGCCCGGACCCAGTCAACACCACCCTCTGAGTCAGCGTCTGAAGCATGTCCTTTCGGCACCCCTGCTTTAGAGCTTTCAACTCCTTTGTCGCGTGCACCAATTTTGGAGCCTTCTGGCGCCCCCCGTTTTGGAGCCTTCTGGGATATGGCTAAATGCTGTTGGGCATTCCGGGAACGATCTTAATGTTTTCGCGGAAGATTGGAACGTTTTCCTCCACACGATGGGCTACAATGCGATCCTCATGCATACATGCAATCTGAAGAAGGTCGCTGCTGGTTACAAAGAATGGCAGCTCACCAGGCAACCAGACGAAGGGTCGATCTTGTTGCGATTGACAATTTCACCGAGACTGCGAACCAATGGACAACCCTTTGGGAGAAGATACGCGTTCGAATATCCAAAAACATCACCCTCATATCCAATGGTTTCATGTCCTCTTCTTGCACCTCCGCCTGTGGCAAAATCTGTGGGAAACTCCGTTGAGGTGGTATTGTCTTTGATCAACCCACTTGGAATCCCGATGGCTTCAAGTGAAGAGACGCTTCCCAAACTCCTACCAGCACCTGAGTCAGCGATCCAATCAACACAGAATGTTGAGGATGATGTGCGTTCAGAAATCTGGGTGCGCGCAACACTCGAATGCAACACTGGCACTACACCATCCAATTTCCATTGGCTTTCATGGCTTGCACCAATGGAATTATGGTTTCAATCATCTCTGAACCATCAAAATTAGCTTGGGTTTCAATCGTTCCACCAATGGAATTCTGCTTTGAACATCTCTTAACCATCCAAATTAGCTTGGCATTCAATTCTTCCGCCAATGAAATTCTGATTTGGAACATCTCTTAACCATCAAAATTAGCTTGGTTTTCAATACTTGTACCAATGGAATTCTGATCCAGAGTATCTCTTAACCATCAAAATTAGCTTGGTTTTCAATGACCAAACTCTGACTTCCAAAGAGCCTCCTTGAGCCAAAACAGCTAAAGGGCCAGGACGGAACACAGAAACACAGGACACAGGAACACAAACACACACACGCCCATCCAAATTAGTCTCTGCCACTTTTCCTCATCTTCGCAACGTTGCCAACTTCTGTCGCACAGCAATGGCGTATCGCTGTAGAGCTGTACATGCCGAGGTTCTCTTGTGAGTTCGCTTTATGACCCGGCTGACTTTTTTCATAAAGTCTTCTTCCAACCATGTGCTGTCTGTATTTGGGTTCCTATGAGATCTCCTTTGGTGCGCTTCGTTGCACACGTGTAATACCAAGTGCCATTTTGGGCGCACTTTGAAAACCAAAGGGCGCTCATGTACCCCTTGGAGGTACAACTTGCAAAATGCTTCTCCCACAACCCGTATCTGTTGGGCTGTAGCTTCTGTCATGAACCAGGGGCTGCTGCAGAGTAAGGATGCAAATTTGTCTGCGCCCCAAATCACCGCAGAAATATGCTCAAAAGCTGGCAGCTGGCAGTCAGCAAGCTCCGAAGCTAGCCACTTCAGGATGATGAAGGAGTCGTACCCCTTGCTGCGCAATTCCTTTGCTGCAACCCAAAAATCAAGTGGTTGCATCACAACTGAAACTGATTTGCCATCGAAAAAAAATTACAAAACTTTAAACCAAAGCATCTGGGCACTCACGTGACTTAAAATTGAGGTTGCTTTGGCTGAACTTCTTCAGCGCGGTCTGCTTCCCAAAAGAACGGCAGAATGTGCGCAAGCTTTTGGTAGCACGCTCAAGCCGTAGCTTGACAGCACCATGGCCAAACCAACCTCCTCGAACCAGTATGTGCATGGCAGCTCCAATCCTCACACAGACAAAACACAGAAAACAAACAGGTTGGGCGTTCTCAACAAAACAGCAAACAAACAGCCACAAAAGCTCTTGATGTGGTCCAGGCACAGGTCGCGGGCCACGCCCAAGTTCCAAATGTGCAGTGTGTCGTACCCAACCTTGATCAGGTCAAAGCATTCCAGCAAAGCTAAAGATGGCTGTATGTTCCATGGTAACGGCGCTCTGCCGACAGTGTCTCGCCACGGTGCCTCTGCCGACAAATCAGTGAAGTTCAGCAACCCAGATTTGGTTGCCAGACAGCTGAAGCAAATGGATTCGGCATTTGGATGCCTTCGGAGATTCATGGACTGCTTCAAAAACTTCCAATCACCCTTGATGCTCATGACAAATACTTTGGCTGTCCATCCCTTAGCCAAAGACACCGAATCCCAAAAACCTGCCAAAAGTGTCTTTGTGTTTCTCCACTATCCTCATTCCAAACCTGACTGAAAAAAGGAAGCCAAGAGACTTCACCATCAGGGGCATGAGGACAGTAGGTGTTGTTTGCAGAAATTCTCAGGCCATCCCGGGCAACTTCATTCAAGGAGTCCGTCATGTAACGCAACACCGTCTGTAAGGTCACATTGACCCCACTGGAAGCCTCAACGATGGATAGCAATAGACTCATAAACACTTGACACAGAAACGCCAAAAAAATGCCACCAGGAAACAATAAAGTATTTCTCTGATGGTATGATGGCCGACAGAAAGCGGCTGGCCATGGAGTCTGAACTGTGGATGTTGAGGGTTGGATGCCAGGTCAAACACATATGAGGCGAGCGAAACACATTCACCTCATCGCCATATACAGCCACAGGGGCTGCAAACGCAGGATCAATTTTGGCTCGATCTTGAGGAAAATCTTTCAACGCATGCTTCCAGTACTCAACTCGATCATCTGTAGAACCCATGATCAGTGGTAAGTGTCCTGCCCGAATCAAAGATACCATCATGTCTTTTGGGAGTAACATCGGCCAGGGTTCAATGCACATTTTGCAGTCCTCCCCCATAACAGGGACATCAAGCATAGACACTGGACAATCCAAGCTGAGGTCTTTCTGAACTGCTCTGCGGTGTAGCCTTTGCTCTGGTGCTCTGCTCTTTGACCACCCAAAAGCATCGCTCCCATATACTCGACCAATTTTTTCTGCGAAGGCCTGCGAAACATCACCAGTGCCAAAAGCTGTAGCTATCCTGGGAATACACACCGGCAAACAAATGGCGACAGCTCAGTTTGGAGGAAACTAAGTTGAACTAGGTGGCAAAAGCAAAAAGAAACCTTTCTTTCCAATTATATAAGCTACTCTCTGTCCAAATGTAAACGTACATCTTGCTGGAGCAAGCCTGCCCAAAAATACCAAGTGCTGAGTAAAACAGTGCTGCAGCGCCAAGGAACCTATTTTCTGCACTCCAAGTTCTGTCGCTTCATCTTTTGAAACGGCATCGATGGAGGTTAATCCCCCAAGATGCAAAACCCCATACGCAGATCTGCGAATCCCCTGGTCCCTCAAAAGCAGCTCAGTGTACTGGTAGATATATTAGGCCTTTGCCTGAGATTCATCCAAAAACAACGAGCATACCACACCGGTCAAAAACAATCAAATCAGTTAATCCATCTTGGTGCCAGCTCCCTTGCCACAGCTTTGCGCTGGACCTGTAGCATCTTGCACTCGCTCACCTGCAGGGTCTAACGGAAAGGACATGAAGTTTCTCAAGTTGCAAGTCCAAAGTTCGAAGATGGACCTTGCGTTTCACAGCTTCCATCTTCGATTGGAGCTGCCCATCGGTCATGGTATCGATGTCAAGCTCCTTGAGCTCATCCATCATGTCGCCGACAATGACCTTTTGCGCCAAGAGCTTCACCCTCAAGTCGTGCCCTGGCAGAGTCAAAAGATCAATGAAAAAGAAGAGAGCTTTGTTCAGCAACCTGGCCTTTTGGCAGGTCAAGGGCAGAAGCGGTTGCAAGGTACTGCTTCCGCAACTCGACACCTTAGAAACATTTATGTTGCACAGGAAGCATCCAACTGTGGACAAAAACACCTTCAGAAGAGTGGCCAGCATCAGCAACTGTATCCTCCCATGACTTCGGCTCTTCTGGTGTTTTGGCTACAGCCTTGGCCTTTGCCTTCGCTTTCCTACCTTTGGTGGCCCCCTTCTTTGGTGCTGGTGTCCCAGCAGTCTCAACCTTTTGCTCCCCCTCCTTCATTCCAGCAATGACCCTGGCGATGTCAAGGCTCTTGGAAGCATTGGTTTGGTGCCGGCTTGCAAATCCAGAAGTCAACCCATTGATCGCTTGAGAGTCAGCAGCGATCCGGCTGGTGCCAACCATTTTCACTTTGCTCCGCTCCTTGACATTCCTTTTGACGTGGACATTCACCCACCAGCGCGCCTCTTCGAGGATTTCAGGGTGATCCTTGTCCAGCACAGGTTGCTGTGTCGACATCACGGCTGCAATCTTCCGCCTGGGCCAAATGCACACAAATCAAAACAAACACATCATCAAACCAACTGAAGGATCAGAACCTGCAACTGACCAACAGCAATTGATCCAAGGGGCTCGCTGATTCCTGCTCTCTTCATCCCTTCCATTGTCAGGAGTTGCTCCTCAGAATCATAGGAGTCTTCGGTCTCCTTGGTAATCTTGAGGTGCATCTCGCATTTGGCAGCGACCTCCCCCCGAACTCAACCAGTTTTGCAAGAGGTCACGCTTCTGCTGCAGGGTTCCATTCCACAGCTCACTCATGTTAGGGCACTTGACCGGATCAGCTTTTTCCATCCAGCGGTTCATCCTTCCATGGAGCTTCTTGCAATTGGAGCTATTGATGAACGCCGGCGGAACCAATCCCTTCTGGAATTGTGCAATGATATCATCTGAGCAGGGCCAGACAAGAAAACAAGTTTCCTCCCAATTCGAAACATGAAAGCACATTTGGTTGAAAAAAACCTTGCCTTCATCCATCTCTTTGAGGTCCTCCTTGGTCAACATCTCACCAGGAACAGTGTCAGCATCTGGATCGCAGTCTCCAACCTCGCCACAAAGATGCCCCAAGCCACTCAGGTTGTCAAGGACCTTCTGGCACCTTCCTTGCGTGGGCTGATGAACAGGTTCAGCTGGCAGAGCAGGTGGCTGATCATGTTCAGCTGGCTGATCATGTTCTTCATGAACAGGTTCAGCTGGCTTTGGACTTGCCGGTGGTCTCCCAGTGTCATCCAAATGTGTGTCTGAAACCTCTGCAACATGTGTTTCTGCAGCAAGCTCAGGAGCTGAAGGTGCCGCTGGAAGCTCCAGACTTGAATGCATTTCCTCATCCACTTTGTCCGGAGCTTCAGGCGCAAGCGGAGGAGCCGGAGCTTCAGGTGCAACAGCGGGAGGTGCCTGCGTGGCCTGCACAGAAGCTGTTGAAGGAGCCACTTTGGCCTCAATATGTTGCCCATTCAACAAAGCCTTCACCAACTCTGTGGCCAGGTTCTGCGTGAAGACTTCACTTGCACTCCCACCCAACCTTAAAAGAAAAAAATCAATAGTTCAAAAACTAGTTACAAAAAACACATACTCTCCAAAGTCAGCTTTCAAGCCAAGCAACGAAGCAAAGAGCTCACTCTCAGTCGGGTCTTGCGACTCCAAGAAGGTCTTGGCCGTCTGTGCAAAAGTCTGCGCAACCATTTGTTCTTGTCCTTTTAGCAATGTAGCCAAGGAATCTGACTCATTCGGAGTATTCGGCTCTGCAATCTGAGGCTCCACTGGTTCTGCAAGAGCGGCGGCACCTTCAGCTGCTGGTGGCTCTGGCTGCATCTTGCGCAACCTCTTCCTGCGAGGCTTGACCGGCTCAGCAACCTCAGATTCTTCCTGTTTCACCTCTTCCTCCGCAAGCATCTCTTCTTCCCATTCTTTCTCTGCCTTCTTGGACTTCTTTTTTGAGCCCTTGGCCACCTTGGTTGAGCCCTTGGCCACCTTGGCCTTTGCCTTGGCCTTTGCCTTCGCTTTTGCACACGCACTGCCCTTGGATCCTGAAGCACAGGCCTTAGCTTTCACTTTGGCCTTTGCTTTAGGCGATGCCTTGGGTTTGCTCTTTGGTGCCTCTTCTGGTTCATCGGTAGGCTTTGTTTTCTTGGGTTTCTGGCTCTTGGAACCTTTTTCCTGCCAAACACACACAGGGTTGAAAAACCTACAGGAATCCAACAACACCAGTCCTTTGGGGGCGTAGTCTTGGGTGGTGTCTTTTGCGCTGTCTTCGAGCCTTTGGGCGGTGGTGTTTCCTTGGCTGAGACGAGTTGAAACAGCGGCGCTCACAACACGAAACAAAAACAACATCAGAAACAGCCCGCAAACACAGACAAAGATCATTCGCAGAACCGCTCTTTAAGGCCTTGATTACTTCAAGGGCTTCATCTTTAGACAAACCATGGTTTGCCATGATTTCATTCACATCGAGCTCGTCCATTCGCAACGCCATAGAGGCCCGACACACAGATCCACACTTGAACTCTTGCACCAAAAGCTGAATGCACAAAATGCACTCTTAACATCGCAAAAGATATTTAAAAAAAACACTGTGGACAAATTTCCACGATTTCCACGGCGTTTTCTT